TTTGTTACAAGGGTTTCCAAATACAGCTGGGAGGCAGCTTTGTTCACATCCTTCTGAAAACGGGCTTTCATCATTCGTAAAGCAGAACACTTCTACCAGTGAAGGCAGCAGTGAAGCTGTTCACGTTACATTCCATCAGAAGTGTTATCTTCATACGCATGCCATACTTGAAGCAGAATGAGATTCTGAGAGAGACCTGGTGATCCCCCTCAATCAATATTCTCAACCACTGCTTAACTGCTTGAAAAAATACTGGAATCCATTTGACTCAGAAGCAGCCAATTTTGATACACTTTATTAAATTTGCTTCCTAGTGCACTTTTCAAAGCAGATGTTGCCAAGAGTTTGACTTGGTCTGCAGTGTCAATGAACCAGTTTTGATACAGGGTTATATCAGAGTCCTACTGTCCTGGGTACTGTCCTACGGTATACAACCATAAATTGCTTTCCCAGTACACATTCTAAGTGGCCTTTGCAAATTATCCATCTAGGACCAGTATATACCTTCTGTTTGCTTCATTGTGTGCAATGGAAAATATTAATAGATATTTCCTTAAGAATAAATAAATGTAATGCTTGTGAAAGAAGAAGACTGGCACTATTTGGAAGCTGAATGCCGACTTACAGATGGAAAGACCTATTAGATCATTCCTTCCCCCTCTTTGCCAAGACAGGAATGTTTTCTAAAGAACATTTCATACTCTTCTTCCTACTCTAATTTTAATAACATAAGTGCTGGAGTTTCTATCACTTTCCTTGAGATTCTATTCCACATAAACGTTGCTTAAGTTCAGAAATACTCATTTTTGAGAACACCTTGGAAAAACTTGTGGCTGCTTTGTACAGCAAGCACAAGAGGCTGGCATATACAAATAGTGGTGTGAGGCAGAGGGGCATTCAGCACTGGGCAAGGTGTGGGTAGGAAGCATGCAGCCCTAGAAAGAGCTGTCAGTGGGCTGATCATTGATAAGTTTGCTAGCTGTAACAGACATGCACGTAATGCCTACCTGGCATTCATCTGCCCATAACCACGTCCTATCTAAGTACATCAGCTGGACTGATAAAGCAAGAATCATTTGTCTGTTTTAGGTACCTTAGAGTGGAATGAATCATGCCCTAAAAAGGTCGATTTCTCACTAATAATTTTTAAATGAGTCAGTAAGCAGAGGGTCAGACTTAGACAACCGTGCTGTTTATGCCAGTAGTTGTGTCAGAAAGGTGAGGCCCAGCTCATTTGCCCCATGGGAGCTTGGGTTCTTCCTGTAGGCAGCTATATGTACATACCTCAACTTCAGCATATTAATCTGGGAGATGAATCCCATCCCCACACTTAAAAGTGAGCTGAATCTCATTCTCTGTGATTGTGTTTGCACAACTACCCTCTACGTGCCTTCCTTCCTAATTCCTCACCTATTTTGCTTTAGCATTGTGAAAGACAGAAAAAAGTTGAGCCCAACAGTCTGGGTAGGAGCAAGAATGGTGTCCTTCCAGAATGCTCTGGTTCTCCTCCCCCAGCCCCATGGACCAAAAGCTTCACCTTGAGACACAAGAAGCTGTGACATCCATGCCTGGATTCTCCTTAGTTGAATATAGCCTGCATAGAAAAGCTCAAGGCTTTACTTTAAATAATAATTTACATAATGTTTTGAAATTAAGGAGGCTTACAAACAGTTTGCTTGAACAAATTTATTTAAATAACAAAGAGCTCATTGGCTCTTTCCCACTTTACCTGGCACATACTTTGCTAGCAAAAAAAGAGCAGCTGAAATCCTATTTGGAGAGCAGTAACAGCACCCAGGCATAGCTCTGTCAGAAGGATGCTGATTTACATCGTGTGATCAGTGGATCTGCTCTGATGGATTACGTATTTTGTATCTTTATTAACTGCACATCATTTTCACATTCTGTTCCAGTCAGCTTGTGACAGATAACTGTTTTTTAGAATCAGATCTCGAGGAAAAGAAATGTCAATGTGGAAAAATAAATAAATACATTACTCAAGCTTCTTGAAAGTATTGAACTCAATGACACATCAACTTAAATTGGTGAAATCATGGTGGGTAGCTTTAAATAGAAATGTTTTTGAAGTAGAAATATCACAAAGCATTAGATATTTTATACGTTTGAGTTAAATTACTATTAGAAAAATTATTACTGTTATGTTTTCATTACATATTGAGCTGGATCTGTCTTCCTTTGAAGTCACCAGGAATATTAACATCAATTTAATTAACTCGAAGCAAGATTTAGCCCAGAAGGAGTTGTTTTACTATGAATAAAGGAGAAAATGAAGTCTGAAGTCTCAGCATTTCCAGCAAGGCACTGAACTCTGATCCACAGAGATACTTAAGATACCTATCTTGCCCTAGACTGGAAATAGGCAAGGAAGTATATTTAAGAGCCTGCATCTCATTAGCTCTGATTCATACTGAATACAAAAAGTATTCAGAGTTTCCCAGGAGAGAGAGGTGAATAATGGGTACAGCAGTGTGAGAACACAGCACTATAAAATCACAATTATAAAAAGACTATCACAGCCTTTGCAACTATGAGGGCTGGTTTTGGTTTTCCAACACTCATTGTGAGCTATGGGAACTTAACCCTGCTCTTCAACAGCTCTGTGCTGTTAACATAACTGTTAATGAACTCACCATCAGTGGACTGCGTTCAGTCTTAGACTTTGTGTGGTACTTCTAACAACCACTGACGTAGACTCAAAGGTGCCACCAGCTGGAACACCTTAGTTAAAGCAAAGCTAATCAGAGGCACAGTTAATGAATAGGATCAGAATCTAGCTCAGTATCAGCGTAGAGACTGTGACTGCTCAATGAACGACTCAGATTACTAATAAATTACTCTTCTTGCTGCTTTCTTGAGTCTCAAAGGAGAACTAAAGTATTGCCAGGGCAGCTTTCAATTGCCAGACTTTATTTCATGCATTATATAGATCTATGCGTGCCAAGGTGACACAGGAATATTATTAAAATGTTTCACCCATTTCCAGAGAAATAGATGGATGGAATGAAAGGAACGTCCCCCTTACTGGTTGTATCTGAAATGGGAATGTGTCAAACAAAATCTCTTTCCTCTTTCATTCGCCTTCTGTCTGCATCTGGAACTTGATTCGATCCAGAGGACACTATTTCAGTTCTGTCCCCGTGGTATCACTCCAGTTTTTTCCCTTTGTATATTTTACAAGTCTTCTGTTATTTAGAAAATTGTTTAATGATGAACTCTGAAATGTCATCGTATCTCAAATTACTTTCCTTGTGTGTTGCATTTGTGGAGGTACTCAATGATTCTCTTCGCATATTATTCTCTCCCAGTCAAAAACCCACAGAATGAACCAGGGGAGGAAATTTTCCTTGGGATCCTCAAATGCTATGCCAGTGGAGCCCGATGTTCAAACTTAATTGCTAGAGAACAAGCCTCGTGGTGTGCCCAAACCCTGCAGCTCTCAAGGAACACAAAGCCTTAGAAATTTACCAAAAGGCCAGAGCAAACTCTTCAAAGGTTCTGTGTCCCCATAGCCTGGCTCCTGCTGGCCTTATCTTGAATTCACTGTATTTGTGTTACAAAGGTTCTCTGTAGGCACAGATCTCTGAATTGCCTTTGCTGCAAATGAACAGTGTAACTCCGTGTCTCCTAAGCCCTTCTACTGATTGACTTCAGACTTTCCAGAAAAGTTCTAGTTCAGAATATAAAGATGTTCTATGGTAGGAAACAGGATAATTTTTACTTATTCCAGTCATCACTGCTGGCTTGTCCTTGATGAAGATAAAATATTCTGATTTTGAATGAAATGCTCATGAAATCATCTACAAAATGAAATGGCTGTAAATGACAATACAGCATGATTACTGTACATAAATTTGGGAGTTCCCTAGTGGTACTCACCATCTTCAGTAAAAACATTTTGAAAAAGGACGTTACAACAAATTTTCCAGCAGCGATCCAACAAGAAATCTCCTTTTGATAGGTGGTATATAAAGATACCTAAAGTATATATATAAAGTATTATAAAATATATGAAGTATTTGTGGGCAATATTGGTGGTAGGTAGATGGTTGGATTAGATGATCTGAGAGGTCTTTTCCAACCTTAAGGATTCAGTGATTCTAGAGTTCAGCCAAAGATACAGAATGCATATAGTTGCCTTAAACCTTTGGCTGCAGTTATTACATCCGTCAGCTGAAAACCTCCTTTGCTCGGGTATAATTTATTCACATTAGTCAAAATCAGTGTTTCTTTGCAGCTGCAAAATCTGATCCAGTAAAATGAACATTAAAATGAACATTAATCAGATGTCTTCTTCGAGAACATTTGTCTTTTTTTTTTTTATTTCACCTTTCTTCATCTTCCTATAATTACTAGCAGAGCAGAATGTAATTTCTTTTTTCTACCTTCATTTCATAGCCACTGAGGTCTTAGATATCTGAAATGTACTGTCCACTGGAGATTGCAATCTGCTTTGTGTAGCTCTCGGATATATTTAAATCTTCTTTTACCCTTCAAAGGCTGGTTGAAAGAAGTGTTAGGTCATTATTTCAGGCGGTAGCTTAATGCTCAGGTTTAACAGTATATGATCTCTCTCCACTGTTCACCAAAGACCTTCATTCAGTGAAGGTCAAGGTATTATAATGCTATTTTTAAAGATACACCCAGCAGTAAAGAGTTAAAAATAGACTCCTACAAAAACGTCCAGTAATTGGTTAAACCTTGTTAGGCATCACATGAAGATGATAACTCCTCCCAGGAAAAGACATAGCAAAAGCAGCTTTGACATGGATTTATACTTAGAAGAGCAGCTGCAGGCTTACTGGGAAGGAGTTCACAAGACAGACTCTTCAACAACTAGCAGAAAAGGAAAAAAACAAAGCTTCATTCCACAAAGGAAGGGAAGGAAATAGAAGGCATTTTTTTCCTCATCATGATCTGCAAATGAATTCCATGGATTCTCGTCTTTGGAACAATCACCAGTAGACAGAGAGCCTAAAAATATGGAGCTGGGAAAGGCGAAACTGCTGAGAACCGGCCTCAATGCTTTATACCAAGCCATCCATCCTGTGCACGGAATTGCCTGGACAGATGGGAAGCAAGTGATACTGACTGCTTTATACTACCATAATGGAGAGCTGAAGTTTGGGGACTCAAGCGTTGTTGGTCAGTTTGAACACGTGCATGGGCTTTACTGGGGCCCGTGTTGCTCTACAGAGACCCCAGCTCTGCTTGCTGTTCAGCATAAAAAGCACGTTAGCGTTTGGCGGCTGGGCCACAGCACTGCGGAGAAAAACAAACCCTTGATTTCTCAGACTTGTGAAATCGGTGAGCCGTTCCCATTGCTTTCCCAGGGCTGTGTGTGGCATCCAAAAAAGGAGGTCTTGGCTGTCCTTACAAAAAGAGATGCTTCAGTCTTGCACACTGTTCGCACGGACAATACCAGAGTTAAGGCAGATATCAAAAGCAGTGGGCTTATTCACTGTGCTTGCTGGACTAAGGATGGTAATCGCTTAGTAGTTGCTATAGGCAGCACCCTGCATTCCTATATATGGGATGATGCTCAAAAAACTCTAAATGCCTGCTCCTTTTGCCCAGTCTTTGATGTGGGAGGCTATATCTGTGCTATAGAAGCCACGCTGGATTTCCAAATTGCTGTAGCTACTGAGCTTCCTTTAGATAATATCTGTGGTTTGAACGCAGGCATTGCATTTGATATGCCATCTGGTGCTGAAACTAGTTCTTTAACCTCGCAGTCTACTACAGCACTTGGTGATGAAGAGTACTCCATGGACCTGCGAAGAAAGTCCACAGACTCTGACAGATCAGGCACTGTTGATTCAATAGCTTCTTCTTCATCAGGTCCTTTGGATTTAACCCACATCCTTGCAAATCACCGTCGGTCTGATCCCAGTCCTCTCATTACTCTGAAACGCAAAGATTCTGCAGCAATGAATGGTCAAGATTCTTCTTACCTGATCTTGGTGACTTTTGAAAGGAAGGTAACCACCACCAGAAAAGTCAACATCCCAGGCATTCTGGTTCCTGATATAATGGCTTTTGACCTCAGAGCTCAGATCGTGGCAGTAGCCTCTAATACTTCTAACATTGTTTTGGTGTATTCAGTAACCTCTTCCTGCATGCCCCATATTCAACAAGTCCAGCTGGAAAAAAATGAAAGACCAAAAGGCTTATGCTTTTTGTCAGATAAACTCCTATTGATATTAATTGGGAAGCAGAAATTCCCTGAGCCGAGTCTTATTCCATCTTCAAGTTCGGACAGGTATGTAATGCGCTTGATGATCAAAGAACTGATGCTGGAAGAAGATGCTTCAACGCTGCCAGACACGAAGCAGCATATGCTTTATAACTTTGTATCGTCTGTGAACATACCTGGAAAAAGAAAGTTCTTTGAAAACCTTGCCACAGAAGACCAACATCAAAGCAGAGACCTGTTAATACCAAGAAGTACAGTTATTCAATCTCCCAGCGGCAGGAGAAGACTCATCGAAGAAGTGAAGAGCCCTAGTTATGAGCAGAGCTCTTCATCAAGTGTTAGTGACTTGGATGAGAAAAAGCTCCCAGATGACCCCTCTGTTGCCTTAGAAACTTTGGATGCTGAACCTATCAATCGTTCAATGGCTCTTCTTGGTTTTGGAACAGCTACCAGGCTTTCCAGCAGACCAGCTGCCCCTAAAGTGCAGTTCAATGTAATTGAAGAAACATCGAGTTCTCCTAAAAACAACAATTTGCCAGGTGAAAGAGGCATGAGTCACATATCTAGAAATTTAGAGAGACTCTGTGGCAGTTTCAATGACTTACAACTGAGTCTTTCTGAAATAACAGACTTTGCTAAAAACGGGAGAAGGGTGTCTTTAGCCTACCCAAGTTCACAAGAGCCACCGGTCATTCATATCACTTACCAGGTAAACTTTTCATCAATTTAAAAACACTGTGATGGGGCACTGATGTTTTACACTATCTTTTATTTGTATCACTTAAAAGCAAGAGGATGCAGTTTGATTCTTGTCAACTCATGAGAAAAAAAATCTGCCAGTATGTCATTATCATTTCATTAAATAAAGATATGAATGTCAAATCAAATTCCTGCCCCACCCTTGTTTTGGCAAAATTCCTACTGGCTTCAATAAGAATTTCAACTTGGGAACATAGCAATAATTTCTTGCTATAATTCTTAGCATTATTAGCAGTAATACCGATATTATACTGATAATAGTTTTGGTTGTGCTAATACTCATTGTGTTGCTGCTAAAACTGGGATTCCTTACAGGATGTTGATGCCAATTTCAAATGGATTCTTATCTATTACAAGATGAGCAGAATTATGCCAAGTAATACATTTGTTTCACAGTGACGATGCCAAAGTACCTGTTTCTTGAACAGATTTGACTCACAGCTATACAGCCTCCTTTCACTTGGAAGGATAATACAGACATCTAAATATCCCTCCTTAAACACTCATTAAGGGAACCGTGACTCCATTCAAAAATATTCATTAGTTCTTAGCAATTGTTCACGTGGCATTTTAGCAGATTCTTGTATGCTAAGTAGACTGGATGAAAGCAAAGCTTTTGATCTGAATTAGCACCATAACTTTGATATATTATATGAATTCTGGTGAAGAAACAAGATGCCTTTTGAAAATAATTTAGGATTTTGTTTGCCAAGAAGCATGCTCTTCTGTTCTCCAGCATGTTCAAATTAATACTGTTTTCTTAATATAAATCAATTTATTTATTTTACAAGCAGCTCAATCTCTTGGATTCGAAAGGATTAACCTTTCCAAAGAAAAGATCCGGTTGTGACACCTAACATTAATCTAAGATCTGAATTCACTGTGCACGTGTTGACTTACACATGCAGTAAGAAATAATTTTCCAGTTTATCTCTTTGGGAATAAGACAAAGATAATAAAACCAGCAGGCCTAAGATACTGCCAGACTAACTACATGTAGAAAAGCAGTCTCTTATTTCTCTAAGCAGGTTAATTTTGCATTGAGCCAGAAGAAAGCCCCTCTAGTACTACATTATAATGACTCAGAAAAAGTGCCACTTCATGGCTTTCCAAAACACATAGCTTTTCTGTTTGAGCCTCACTTATAATGCTTTGCATAGCTCCGCTTCTCTTCTGAAGTCTAACAGGATCACAAAATGATGCCAAAAGATAATGAAAAATAGACTGACGGCAAAAAGGTCTCCAGACAGAGAAGGAAATATTTGCTTCGTAGGCAGCTAATAATTTTTTTCAGAAAAAAGTTGTTTTGATTAGTTTGCATTGAGACATCTGAACCTTGATTCTCCTCCAGGAGTTGATTAGCACTCCGGGAGCTCAGAGGGCAGCTGGGCTGTGGGTTCCAGCCAGGCACTGTTCACAGTGCAGAGAGTCAGGAAATAGCTTTATTGCCTTATAATATAAATATCAGCCAGTGGAAAACATTCTAAACTTCAGGAACACTGCAGTCCAGTCCATAATATGGCCATTATCTGTCAATTTTTGGTGCCAAGTCTGCGTCTTCTTAAGTGTTTGCATAATCCCCAGCACAGCAGAGGCCCAATCTTGATTGAGAAATCCTTTGTTCTATTAAGCGTAATGATCGATACTACATAACCACATTTACACATTACAAATGTAAAAGTTTAAAACATTATGGGAAAAAAAAAAAAAAAAAAAAGCAGCTGTAATTAACGGTCAGTTATGAACACTGCTGTGCAGAAGCAGTATTGACGTCCAGAAAGATTCCAGTTCTGCTTAGAAAACCCTAACATAAACCAGAATGTATGTTACTTAATAATTCATAATATCTGCTTACTAAATAGTCTTCAAAACCTTTGTTTATCCCGTTATTGCCAGCCTGCCCATAATTTCTCTGAAGTCACGTCCATGCAGCGCTACCAGAATTTATATGCTTTGTAGCTCACGGCCATAAAAGAAAAACATGATCACTCACACTTCGGAAATGTCACCGCACTATCACTTGTGTAATAGCATTCAGCCACCAGAGGTGATTTGATCATTCAACCCTGAAAAGCAAATATTATTGCTCTTTCATCACATACAGACTTGTGATTCAGGCTCGCGTGGGAGGGCAGACAGACAGATGCAATAAGAAGATACTATTTAACAAGAAAAAAAGAAGTGAGGGAATTTATTTCTGTTTCATTTTGCAAAAAAAAAGATACTTTTCTTATCCATTTTCTCATCCATCTCCCAGAAAAGAAACAGCTGCAGAATATTTAAACTAGCCTCATTCAAAAGCTAATTACAGTGGAAATAAAGCCAATCTGGATTTGAAAATAATGGCATTGAGGCAAACCTCTCCAGAAGGAGTCAGATTCTTTCTTATCTGAGGAGTATCGCAAAACTCCTACATTTTGCTCACAAGCAGCACTGTGTCAAAAATCTGTATTGCTGAAAGCATGTATTTCATGATTAAACTGGAAATAAACTTCTTTTCAGCAATTAGTCACCAGGATTTCCCTTTCTTAACCTTGGCCAACAATTGTATACAAATCAGTTTGTCCTTCTCTGATATCTTTCTATAAATCACTATAGGAAATTTTATCGACAAGGTCAGCTGTGAAATAAAAGTTTTTATGCAGAGCTGGGAGATGAATAGAAGGGGTCCAAACACATCCCACTAATTTTTTATTTTCTTTTTAATACAAATAAATAGAGTAGAGATAAAGGAGGAGGACTGCACAATGGTGACAGGAAAGTAGGCAAAGACATAAGGAGAAACTTGAATGATCAGTTATAAGAAGAGCATGAACCTCCTGAAAAACCAAAGGGCAATTTTGGCTTGAGTTGAGCAATAAAAGAAAGTCATGAAAATGATGGAAGAGGAAGGTGTTCTGACTGCTCCCCAGAGTAAGAACTAGTCATCTCGAAGTTTAGAAGGGAGAGATTTAGGAGGACCATAAAAGACCTGCAGTAGCCAAGACGAGGTGTGATTAATGCATGGACAACATTTTGAGCAAAGATTGGAGGATCTGTTAAGAACAAATTCTGATGACACTGCTGTGAAAGTGATCAATAGCAGACAAGCGGGGTCTGCACAGGAGATGTGACACCTTTTATTAGGCCAGATCATTTGGTTGCCAGATACATAGACGCAAAAGAGAAAGGAATATGTAATGTCAAAACTGTAGCCAAGTTTTTGTATTGAAAGAAAGTTAAGATTCAAGTTTTTTCTTTTTTTTTAAGAACAGCTCTGGAAGATCAGGATGCATGAGGGAATAAGGTGTATCTTAGATAACGAGGCACCAAAACATTAATTGTAGAACTATCAGCAGGGAGCCAAGAGCAGAGAAGTCCTAGCGTTGTATCATTGGAAGAGCTGAAGTCCTTCTGTGTGCTATAAATGCAAACTGCACTGGGATTTAAGCACCCCTGAGCACCTCAAATCTCTTCTAAACATTTGACAGGCTTATACTTCTCTCACATTTTATCGCAGTTGGTCGCAGTTGGAATGTCTCACTTAAGGGCTTGTGGGGATACTGAGAACTCCACCAAAATAAAATCAGGATCCGCCAAAAGCGGAACTCACGGAAAGGGAAGCAGCCCAGGCAGTCTGGACTGGTACCTGTAGCAATGCTGCACAAAGCTTCCAGACAGGCAGTGCCTTGACTATCAGAAATCACAATTCTTATTCCTCTTCAGTGCTCTTCCTCAGCCATTCAATTATCTTTCATTGTCTTCTTGGTCGGATCTCTCATGTTTATATGATTTGACAGCTGTCTTGCATCCCACACAATGAGTGCGGGGGCAAAGCAAGAGCGAGCTGACTAATAGGTACTAAGGCATCACAACTGAAGTTGCAATGAAACACAAACCAAAGAGCCGAAATCGAGGGTGTAAGAAAAAGAAAACAGAGTTCTAGGCAACTACAGCCCTTCATCTAACAGTGCATAGTTAGGACTGACTAACCTGATACTTCTCCTTTATAAAAGAACAGATTATGAACACAAAAGATATGAAGAACATTTAAAATACCTGTGGTTCAACACAGCACTCAAAATTGTGCCGTAGGGAAAATTATTGGTTTGACAGCAGAGAATTGGGATTAATAGAAGAAGTGAAAGATGGTTACCTGCTTTAGCAGGGGGTTTGGACTCTGATCTCTCGAGGTCTCTTCCAATCCCTATGATTCTGTGGTTCTGTAGTTAAAAATTGGCTGGGAACAGTATAGGACATGATTGTAGTATTATAAAAGAAAATGGAATAAATTTACTTTTGGATTTGCCTATGATCAATCTTCAGGCTAATTTAAAAGTTTCATAGAATCATAGAATAACCTGGGTTGAAAAGGACCACAATGATCATCTAGTTTCAACCCCCCTGCTACGTGCAGGGTCACCAACCACTTTTGTGATAAGCCATTAGAATCTCTTTATGGCCTAATGTTGGAAGAATTTTCAATAGAGGATCAAGATATCACACCTATAATTTGATGTCCTTAACATCTAGAATAATAAAAATGGATTGAAATGAACTGGTTTGAAGTGCATAGTGGAAATACCAGTATTAAGAGCAAAAATTGATGCTGTAAACTGGATACTCACTGTCTGGACGCAGCTGAGAAAGAGAAAGGCTTGCATGTGTTGAGTGAATGCAAGACAGGTGTCAATCAGGAAGATGACAAGTTTATGAAAAGAATAAAGGCAGTTTTTTGATACACTGGGGAGGTACATACAGAAAGAAACGCAGTGTGAGGCTTCACCTGGAGTTTGCATTTCTAGACATCCATGCGCAAGAAAAACACATTCAAACTGCATGCAATTACTAACCCAATGTTAGTACAAAACATTTTTGGTTGGTAGTATCATGAAGGATATCACAGTTTCATCAGTCATTGAATTTAAGTTCACAAAGATGATCTTTGCATCCAGGTGATTGTAGGCTGTGAGTTAGAAAATAAAAGATACGTAGACAGAAGGCCCTGGGGGCAGAACTGGCTGGCTGCTCAGCGGGATGCAAACAAAGCTATAAAAGAAGGCTATTTATTATGCAGTCATAGAGTGTACAGCACCTAATCCAGGAGCCTTTTTGGGTTTTTTTGTGTTTTTTTTTTTTGGCCTTAATAAATTATTTTCTTGCCATGTATATTTGTATTCCAAAACAAGAATTTTGAAAGACAGATTGGCAACACTGTGACCGGCTGGCTGCAGCCCAGAAGATCCTTTGTAGGTTATAAAAAATGATCGAGGGGCAGGCTGACACAGATGAAGGAAAGCAGTTGTTGAATTGATGGTTTGTTTCTGTTGGATTTTTGTTGAGGGAGGGTTGGACCTGAGAGACTACAGGAATTTGGCGACAGAAACTTTATCTGAAAGTATCCGCTTGAGTATGTGGAAATATATTTGTTTATTCTGTGGTTAATGTGTGCTAAGTACACCAATAAACTTTGATTTAGAATGAAACAACCAACAGTAAGAGCTTTAAATATGAAATCTTCAAGTCCTTGTCTGCTTCTGCTGGAGATTAACAGCAGCACTGCAAAACAGATACATATTTTAGGAAGTGGACTGATTATTTTCTCAGTCTTCCTCCTTCCAAATTGAGATTTGACCAGAAAATTGTTGTTGGGTTAAGGCATGAAAATGGCAAGTACTAAAGTGAGATTTCATTTGTGCTTCTAACTTGGTCACAAATTACCTGCATGACCTTGAGTAAATCTCTTAATCTTCTGGTGTAATGGTTTGATCTTCTATAAAAAGAGAATAAAAGCAGTTACACAGCTCTCAAGAAAGCACACGTGTGTGAACATACTCCTCAAAGAGAAATGTTATCATCACTTAAAACAAACGTTAAACAAAAGAAACTAACAAACAGAAGTGAGAAAAAGAAAAAATCTTGAGCAGAGAGAATTTGTCAGCAGACAAAAATAAAATGTAACTGTGATCACGTTTAACGTGATGAGCAGGAGCATGTGACAAAGACAGGAGAATCAATATGAAGGCCCCAAAGAGATGAAAGACAAGCACCTCTGAAATGTAAGCTTTGATGTCTGTACTTGAAAAACTGTAGAACCATAGGAAAGGATAAAAACGAAATACTGTGTGGTTTTGTGTATGCAAAAAAGTCTTCCATTTCTAAAGGCCATTAAAGTAACTTGCATGGTTAAGTAGAAATCATTCTAGAATAAAGTCATCCACATCCATTCAACTGCTTGCAAGTCAACGGAGGCACAGCTAGATTATTTTCTGATTATTTTTGAGCTGATGCATATCTAATGAAAAAAAATCACTTGGGTACTTGTCTCAGTTGAAGCCCACCTCTTTTTATAATTCATTAATTGAGGTACAAGTCTGAATAAACGCTGGTATTTTATCCTGAGATTGGGAAAATGAAGTAGTTGTTAGATGTACTGATCCACTTTATGCAGCAGTGAAAAGCTCTGTACCAATGAAATACCTGTACAGGCAAATAGCATCTTTGGGGTGCAAATGCAATGCATGTGCTTGTGCTGAAAATCCAGTCCCTTGAGTTTCAGTTGTATTTAGGTTCGATAGAATATAATGCCACATAATTTGAAGAGACCTAAAAATGACAAAGTTCTGTTATATTGGTGGAAAGTGTGGAGAGGAAAGATCCAAATGAAATCGGCAGAACAAAAGTAGAGCAAGGTTGTTTAGAAGCAAATGGCTGACTCAAATATTTTAATAATGGCATTAAGTCACTGGAAAAGTTTTAATGTTAAGACTGACTTTCAAAGGATAGCAGGAAGTTGTAAATGCAAATATATATTCATCCCATACTAATATTAACTCAGCTATTCTGTGGTCTTTGCACTTTGTAGTAATCTGAATGACAGAACATTATGTTGTCAATTCTCAAGACCAGATAAACTTCACAAATGCCACCTCAACTATGCCAGCTTTACCTTTAAAGTGTATTTTTTGTGAATGTTAGAGCAGCTTCCAGGACAGTGAATCCATGTATTCTCCCTATTAAAAAAAAAAAAAAAAAAAAAAAAAAAAGCCATACAGTTTCCAAGCTAGATTGTTGTGACAGCTTTTCAAAGAGATTGTCTCCATGAAATTCTCTCCATGCCAGAACTGGGGGATTTTACTGGGGTGGAATAGCTGAATGATGATTATAATGAACACCCACATGTAGCACTGATAGCGAGCAGAGCGCTGGCTTTGGCAGTGTAAGATCTAAGCTACTTTCTACTCATTACCATATATTCCCTTTCACTGAATTGACCATTAGGGCAAAAGGGCCCAATGGACACAAGTGCGCGTGGCCTAATACATTACATATCACAGACCAAGCAGTTTTGAGCTGCGTAAGCACAAAAAGCAAAATCCAAAGAGGCAAACGCTTCTTCACGTGGGACTATGAGGTTGTGGCATTGATAAACTGTAGCAATAACAGAGAAAAAAAAGCAAAATTATTCAAGAACTGAAAGGACTATGAGTAGAGGAATGGTTAGAAGAACTCTGGTAAAATATCTAAGCCTTTAACGAGATCTTTTCTTTTGCATATATGTGTTTGAAGAAAAATTTTTCAAATGGAGCAATTACTGAAGAAACAAAAGATGTTCTCCTCTGTGATGGCAAGATCCATTTGAATTTAGTCCAGCAGCTGTTCGACCTGACCATTATTGAAATGAAACACGGTACGTTCTATTTCAAGTATCTGGTTTCAAATGAGATTTTTAGTGTAAATGAGGCATTTGTGGTAATTATCCCGTACTGTAGAAAATGGTGAGAGCTAAATTCACTTAAATGCTAAGTAATTGCAGAGCTACCTATTACCGGAGTGATATGTTGGATGCCTCTGCAGAGGAAGACTGAGAAAATAATCAGCCCACTGCATTATATGGAAACAGAAATTCTTCCTTATGAGACCTTTTGGTATTCTGCCTTTTCTATCTGCACAAGTCCCACACCTGACAATAAGGAATAGGCTGGAGGAAAATTCATTCTTGGAACGTGACAGATGTGTGTCGTGTAGCATTTGGGATTCTTTGACTCTAAGACAAACAGCAAAGCTCAGTGCTCTAATTTTCCCCCCACACATTTACCACCACCACCGATTAACTTACAAATGCAGACACTACTAGGGGAAAGCCAGCCCCAGACTGGTCACTGAATTACCTTGTCCCTGTCTGTTCATGCATGCTACTTTCTCAGCAATATACAGATTATTTTTCTTAGCCATTTCTCTATAACACTTCTAAAGGCTTTTCTCATCTCAGCCTAGACAGATCAAGATCTTGAGGTACAAAGTATTGGCTGTAATTACGATCTGCTTGCACTGTTTCCCCACGGAGAGATCACAAGTAACTCACTGTCTTGGCCCTCAGCCCCTGCAGGCTGAGACCCGTCGGCTCAATCAGTACAGCCAGAACTGAATTTGACTCTTGGTGAAAGCAAAATGAAAAGGCCAGTAATAACACTCTGATTTTCCAAATGACTGGCGTGTAATAGGCTAATTGATAAGAAGGCTACATAAATACTACAGATCAGGAAAGTGCCTTTCACCTAGGCATACTGGGATATTTCAGTTTTTCCCTGGCTTTCTGAGAGTTGCTCCAGAATATAAGGATATGCAGCTTCTGTATTTTTGAAGGCAGTCTCTCTTAACACTGTACATGCAGTGAAGGCCGATATGAAAAGACCAGGGCAGCCTGGTCTGGTGGTTGGCGACCCTGCACATAGCAGGGGCTTGAAACTGAATGATCATTGCGGTCCTTTTCAACCTAGGCCGTTCTATGATTCCGTGATAAAAAACCTTCACTTGCTGCAAAGGCCTGAACCTATTTCTCAGCAGGCTTCTGTGATAATGCAATGTAGATAATGCTATCTTTTGCAGGGCAAGAAGAATGTAATTTTTGGCTTGTATTTCCACTTCTTGATTTTGGAAGGAAATGCCCATAATGAAACCAGGTTTTCATGGCCCATTATTCAGTATGAAAATGATAAGTGATGGGATGGAGAATGCCTATTTTCAGCTCAATGAGACGACTGATTATTAAGTTAGTAGAACTCTACGATTTCCTGATTTAGACCTCAGAACCCTAACGTGTCCCTCTGCCCCTCTGCCTCTTCATTGCGCTGCTTGGCGTTTCAGAAATCAGATCTGTTGCCAGCAGAAAGAAAGACTGAATCAAGAATCACTCTGAAACTCCCCATAATCCTGAAGAACTATCAGGTTCTGGGCAGAGGTTGTTATGTATCTTATCATTCACTTACGATCAGTAGAGGTTTAAATTCCTAAACCTTTCCTTCGCCACTATGCTTGAATATTAAATTTGGCGTTTAAAAATGTCACTCCCATTCTTTAACATTTTACAATTAAAAGAGATGTAATCAAGAGCGTGCTTATACTGCAGTGGCAGTCCTGCATTTTTTTAGCTATGAATATACACTTAAACTTGAATATATGGAAATAAAGAAGCTGATAACTGCAGACCAAATTCATACCCACGGCGAAGCTATTAAGATCATAACAGTTATAAGAGCAATGAGCTTGGCCTCATCATGTGTACGTTAAGTCCAGAACTATAATATCATTACCTGTACTAAATATAACCTGCCACACAGAGCCCTGGTATTAGCACACTACATTAAAAGTCACTCTTTTCTGAAGCTTATCATGGTAAGAACCTGGCAAAACAAAAGGAAAATGTATTCAACGTAAGATTTTCCTACCTTCAATATATATATTATGTGGGTTATGCTTCAAAGCAAGTGTTAGCAATTACACAGAGAAGTTCAAATGTTTCAACAGGTGAAAATAAAAAGTCCTAAGAGTATGACAAAAAAAAAATATGCTTTATTAATTTGACCACCAATGTAATTACCAGTTTGGATGGCAGAATTTCCACTTCTAGGCCCATTGTTTTCAGAATCAGAAGACTGTCCAGAATAAGAAAGTATTAAGAGCAGAAGATTAAAGATTCGTGGTTTGGAATGACAATCTTCTTATGATGTAACAGGTGACATGACAACGTGGAATAGTGCAGCCTGGAAAGGTGCTCTCTTAATGGTATAAGGAGGGGAGATTTGCTTTGTCCAGTAAAATGGTTTGTTATGACCAAAACTAAGCCTATATCCCGTACATTTTCTTATTCCACATTCTTTTTAAAAACAGTTTTATGTCCCCAAAATAAAAATCTGAACAGCAACTGTAACAAGGCTTTCTTTACCTCAAATCCCAGCCAATGGCAGCACCCAGCCACGACAAGATCATGCTCTCTCTCCAAGAGCAGTGTGTGACACCAAGGCTCCTGCAATGCTTACCAACTGCTACAGTTTGTTTGCATTTTTTTCCTTTCCACAAAATGTCAAACTGAACAAAAGACAGAATTTTCTGTAACAGCTGCAGCATCCATCAGGAAACAGATGAATCATTGGAGAAAAAATAGTGCAGATCGCCTCATTTCCAAACTTACTTTCAAAGGAAGGTAAAATTGAAGGGTTACGTTTAATTTCTGTTCCTCTGCGATACAGAAAGTAACCCTGAATGATTTTGATGTCTTTTTCATGTAATCTTGTCTCTTTTTTTTTCAGCAAAAAAAAAAAAAAACAACACACAAAACAAACACATGAAAAATATCATTTGAATTTTGTTCAGTCTCTTCTCTATGAAAAGTTCTGATTAATAATTAAAGAATGAAAAATTTTATAGTATCAATTCTGTAAATCATCGAGCTGTAACTTCCATTTGCTATATGAATTTGTAAGCATACTGCACAACCCTGGCTTAATGTAGGAGAAGAAAACCCCTATTTTCCTCTAGAATAAATACAGTGCAACCATTTTCTTTGCCAACTCCTAGAAGGAGTCCAGTGGGGGGCGACAAGGATGATAAAGGGCCTGGAGCATATTCTGTATGAGGAAAGGCTGGGAGGCCTGGATCTGAAGAGAAGATTGATCTGATCAGTGGTCATAAATATCTGAAGTGTGGGAGGCAACTGTTTGAGGCCAGGCTCTTTTCAGTGGTGTGTAGAAATGGCTAAAGACTTCAAATCCCTGCAATTCTGTGCTTCGTTGTTTGGGTACAGCAGATGAGCAAATGGGAGAAGCAGGGGTGGATCAAAGTTGGCATGGAAAGGCTGTCTGAGGTTTCAGAAAATGGAGATACTCATTGTTTATCAGAACTGGCAAAGATATGTGGGTTTTTTCCACTTAAGTTCAATAAGGTTTGATACGAGAGTGGTGAGGTGCTGGAACAGCTGCCCAGAGAGGCTGTGGATGCCCCGTCCATCCCTGGAGGTGTTCAAGGCCAGGTTGGATGGGGCCCTGGGCAGCCTAGTCTGAAATGGGGAGGTTGGTGGCCCTGCATGTGGCAGGGGGTTGGAGCTTCATGATCCTTGAGGTCCCTTCCAACCCTGGCCATTCTGTGATTCTGTGATAAGGTACAAAATGCCTTAAAACTTTCAAGAGCTTTCATTTTGCCTCCCTTTGCATTTATACAAAGGTGTGTTTAGCACGGACTGCCAGGTCTTAATGCCATGAAGGTAATGAGGTTTAGTGCAAAAGGAAGCCCACTCTGCTCATGTGCCAGATGACTGTTTTAAAGCATCACTGTGCAATTTATATAACCAGAGCAGTGCACTCATTTTCTTTTTTGCTTAACTTTTGTAGGCTCTTCTTGGATCGTGCTCACTGCAGACAAGGACGGCTTTGTGCCATTAATATTCAAAGCAAGACAGGACATCATCATAAGGGATGGAACTGACAGTTCAGAAGTCTGCGGTCGTCACTCCTACAAAAAGGGCAGTTTAATGCAGCCACCAAGCAGAGTGACATAAGAGCTCACCAAAAAACACCAATGACCCCCTTTTTTTTTTTTTGCTGAAGCAATACACAGAGATGTTCTGTGGCATCAGACACTGAATGACTAGAAAGTTGTCTTCACTACTTTCAATATATTTGGACTAAAATCTGGGGCACGGTCACACAATAGCTGAGTCCTAGGGTTGACTACACCCTCATGATGTCTTCAGAATGATCAGACCTAGAATGGAGTTTACCAGTGTTATTAATTGTTATTAATAACGTTTTGTTATTAATGACTGCCAGTGGACTGGAGCAGTGACAAGACTCCAATTGTGGTCAGGATGTTCTGGGAGAAACAACAGTATGCTGAAAATCATGCAGTAAAAACCAGCCTAACCAATATGGGAGTACAGCCCACACAAAAGCTGGAGAAAGTGCTACTAACGAGCATTCATACTAAGGAAAACTGCAAAAAGAGAAGGGAAAGCACTTTTTGGCTCTATATGAAGTTCCTATGGGTCCCATGGAAACCCGCAACATTTTCAGAAATGCGTAATTCTAACATGAAAATGTTCAGCTACAAATACAGCTGCATCACTGCCTCCTGTCACTGTCTCACACAGCATGGAGATTTATACATGCACACTGAAGAGAAAGGAAAAAAAAGAAACAACTTGTCAGGTAAATTAAAGATCAAAGACATTGAGTGTAAATGTCATTTGGCTAAATGCAGACGTCTGTGCTGAACTTGCCATCCTGTATGATCAGACAAATAAAGGAAAACACCCCTATAGCAGATTATTTGTGTCCTACCATAGTTTCTAATACTGGTCATGGTGAGCCATCCCTATTAAATAAGTAATTAAGTGCCTGTTCCTTTCTAGTGGCTGCAAAGCAAGCTGGTGTGACTGCTCTGAATTCAGACATTTACATTTATTCAGATGAACCTCGCTCTGAGAACAGTTTCAATTCATTGAAATAAGTAATGTCCTTTTCATGCAAATGTCTTCCCAGAGACTGAGACATCATCATTCTAACAAGCCTTCAAGCTCAGGTGTGAGATGTAGCTGGGTGTATTTGTACTGCCAGATTTCTAAGTCATGTAACGTATTTTGAAGAAGCAAAATATATTTGAACAACATCCTCGTGTCTCACAGCAGAATCTGGTGTTTAAAATATATAGGCCTGGGGCCAAGTAAACTTAAATTGTAATTAACTAGAAATGATGGAAGGATATATTTTATAAGAATATTTAGGCTAAACTAAGGGAAGAACTAAAGGAAATGTTTTTGGACAAGTATTGCCTTCTAAAGGGAATGGTGATAGCCCACAGGTTGGTCCACTTATACGAGGCTGTTGAAACACAAAATGTGTGTTATATGGTGCAGATCTGCACTATGAACATACAAAATTGAACAAAACCAGGGCTGAGCCTCCCAGGTTGGTTACACACCAACGCACTTCCATCTGTACTCCATAGTTTCTTTGAGTTTGTGATATGCATTATTCCAAAGGATTCCTTGTTGGAGGAATACTTGTGTTCCACCTTTTGTCAACTTCATGCCTTAGTGTCATCACAGCAACCAAAGGGGGAAATCTTAACTATTAAGATCAGAAAGTGTGTGCATCAAAGCTGCCTCCGAACTTATAATTATCACTAGACATTTCAATGTCAGCCTGCCACGCTACCATTTTAATTGTGTATGTGCTGCTTTTCTATGAAACGATCTGAATGTTGAGAACAGGAATGAAAAGAGCTTCTGTGCCAGAATGGCTATCAAAGTTTGGTTTGGTTCACTGGAGATAAAAGGAGGCCAACAAACTTTCAGATGACAGAACAATTAGTTTCAGGGCATAGCTGACTGTTAGGCTCAAAAACTCAATTCTGTGATGTTTAACAAACTTTTTTTTATTTGTTATAATTCGGGGACATTGTTTTCCCTTGCTGTATGATTCATGGACCAAAGTAGGAACCAGTCTGTCTGAAGGCATTATTGTTACTCAGCACAATTAGTCTAGTTGCAAATGGGGACCCCAGTTCTCATTTGAGGACATTGAGAATTGCACAGGACGGCTTAGGAGAAGCGTTCTTTACAATCAATGACAAATTAATATATTAAAAAACAGCAGCACCTTCCATGCTTCTGAACACACATCACGCACATCTAAATCAATTTGAAAATGTTTAAATCATATGCATGCAATTACAACTAAACGACTCCTAAGCGAAGAAATATTTGTTTACAGGTAATCATTTAGGGATCCAGTGCAGAAGTATTTTATATAGTGTCTATCACAGGGCTGTAAATTTAAAATTGAAAGTAATAAAAGCACTGGAGGAAGCGCAGAAGGGATTTATGCAAAGCAGAGGATAAATTTTCAGCTTTGGTTTGGATGGAGAACAGATGGAGAATCAGTGAAGTAGAGAGATAGAAGACTGTTCTATTAAGCACAAGCTGTACAGAAGATTTTTGCACAAACAATGCAAAAGGCATGTGGAAAGATAAAATGAGTCTGGGCTCAGCTGAGCAGACCGTAGGCTGTGAAAAGGAGAAAAACACAGATTGGGAAGCATTCGCCTTCCTCCAGCAAGGGCTATTTTATATCCGGTGGCCAAAACAGAAAAAAGGGAAGAGTTGTTTGGGTGACCTCTGCGTTGTGAAGGGGCTGAACCCCTCTTCAGGCTCAGCAGAAAGCTCGGGCTCCTCCAGGAAAGCAATGAGAAGGAGGAATAGCTGTGCTGACTCCTGCCTAGAGTCACCCTGTGGGGAAGTCTCTTTCATAATTTAAACAAAGGAAAGCTAAGGAACCTTGGGACTTAAATTAGAAGCCAAAGCTTAACTTGCACTCAGTGTGTCACACTGGTGGCACTCGGAATGCTTCATGGTACACCAGCTCCTCCTTCCCTTGTGGGGAATAACGAGCATACCAGAAAATTTAAGTTCCATTTAAATTCCTCTGCATCTTTATCCGGCACATTTATACACAACCTGGTATATTTTAGGTGCTAGTATGTCATTACTTTCAAGTACAATCTGCTCCAAATTATAGCTGAAACTCACCTTACGCTCTCCATAACTTTGCTGTTAAACATGTGGCATCTGTTTCAGTCTTCCTGGTTCCTTCTGTTGCCGCCTCCTTGAGGGAGCTGCTAAGTGCAGGAGTGTTGTATGACAGGTGGCTGAGGTTTTTTCCCCCCTCTTTTGATTTTGAAAACAGTATAGTGAAAACAATGATAAACAATAGAAAAATGTCATGCGACAAAATGAAAGTCAGTTGCATGGCTGTTGGCCAACCTGTGGTGCTGACTTTGCACAGTGAAATATTTCCTTGGTATTCTTCATAACAACTGAAAAGTCAGCATTTACTGCAGGTGTATGAAGTGCACCCTGCATGACCCTCAACCATTTGGTTCCCCTTCTTCCTCTGCTATTACTAAAGACCTGGGTACCCTTGAATAAAGCTCCAGAATATTACTATCTGTACTCATGCTAAAAATCTCAGTTATGAATTTCCTTTTAGCACACTTCCAGTCGGTTAGACAGCATAAATCAAGCCTAACTTCCTTTTCCCTATTTGTGATTTTTATCTGTTTTCCCAGCTTGGACAATGAATGTATACCCTGTCTTAACATGAAACTGCAAGCATCAGACCAGTATTCCATAGGACAAGAGGAGGTGGCCTTAAATTGGGGCAGGTTCAGGTTGGGCATTAGGAAACATTTCCTCTCAGAAAAAGCAGTGCTGCAGTGGCACAGCTGCCCAGGGAGGTGGTGGGATCACAGCTCCAGAACTGTGGGGATGTGGCACTGAGGGACGTGGGCATGGTGGGCTGGGCTGGGGTTGGATTTTGGCATCTCAGAGGCCTTTTCCAACTGTAATGATTCTCTGATTCTCTAAGGTGTAGACCAGAAGTCCTCTCAATCCCGACACAGTACTCCCTATTCCTAAATAACATTTAATAGACAGTTTTACTAATTTGATCTTAAAAAAACCCCACCATACAGTCCTAGATTGCTAAGACGAAACAGCTCAATCCTTCAGGCTCATGTGACCTAACTTTAAAGCACATGAAGTCAGGCAAGTGAATCCCAGAAGTTATTCAGTATCTCACTTGAAGTTACGAACTTATTTCCCATTGTCCCACACAGCAGAAATGAACTTACGCATTAGCATTACCTATTATATATGTTTAGATATGTTAATTAGTGAATACAATTGCTTCAGCATTCTGCCAGATTGAGGCAGTTTCACCATCTCTGTTAAATGCAAACACACTTTGCGGAGGCTCAGCAGGTCCCTGCTGGTGCTGTTATCTAACAGAGGGCTGCCAGCTCCCCACTAATGGCATTTGGGTACCTCTCAGCTGAGTTTCCAGAGTGCTTGCTGCAGCTCAGCCTCTGTCTGCAGTGAGCCAGTGCTGTCCTTGAACTTTACCTTTCCTCCACTGTTATTTGACAAGAGTGTGTCAACGACCAGGTGTGATCAGATGTCTGGAGGCACGCGGTGCCAAAGCCCAGCACTGGCACAGGAAGAGTTCCTGCACAGGAGGTGACATTTGCACAGACCTGCCAGTTAAAACCATTAGGACTCGACAACCTCTGTCCTTTGGCAAGGATTCCTCCCACTTGTCAGCAGGCACCATGCTATCCTAGCAGACAAGGGACAAAAGCAGCACAGATACACAGTTATGGACACAAAATAGATCCATGCTGATCTGCACTGATACACCGTTATCTCAAAAGGCTTGGACCTGTAATCAACATAAAAGAAAACTGCAAGAGAGGGTGAGAGGGTGCCTGAAAAGCAGGATTAATCTACAACACAGCAGAGATGAAAACAGTGCTTTCACAGATCAGTGACACGCCTGACTTAAGCAAATATATTGCTGGTTCTGAAAAAGTCTGTCTACAAATACCCTTGGAAAGATTATTCCAAAGGAATGCTGTCATATTAAAAATCATTATGTAGAAATAATAGTTTCCACCAAATCAGTTATGAAACAGAATGTTTCTCATCAAAAGGCTCTCTCA